CTCCAGTAGATGCTTAGGGGACACGAGGGAGGGGAGACTCCAGGGACCCAACTAATATTTATTGATTCGCCAGTAGGCATGCTTGCAGGTCACAGGCACACGTGGAGGCCGGAGGACCACCTGTAGGACAAGCTCTCTTTCCACTGTGTGGATGGTGGGAACGGAACCCAGGTCATCAGGCTTGGTGACAAGTGCTCTCCTTTGCTGAGCCATTGCACTGGTCTCAGAGTCACAGATGACAGTGTGGTAAGAGCCGTGCTAAATTGTCCGGCTTTGGGGTAATCACACTGGGGGAAAAAAGCAGTAAAGGAGGAGAGAGAGGATTGCAGCAGAGGGCATGTGGCATCCTCAGCACCACAAAAATATACGTTAAAGATAAATAAATAAAAATCTAACAAAGGAAAAGCAATTCCCATAATTCTATTTGGCCTAATAGATCTGTAACAGTATTATTTCTAGATGGAAGCAATATTTTAACTTTATTTATAATGTGTTAATGCTAGCCCTTGGGAAGCCGTTGTCAGGGGGGTCATAGGTTCAAGTCCAGCCTGGGCTAACAGTAAAAAAAGCCTAACTCAGGAAAAAAAATTGATATGTTTTGAAATTCTTTTCTCATACAAGTCCTTGAAGCCCAAGGTGTACTTGGACGCTTCCAGAACCTCTTAGTCACAGTGAAGGAAACCCAACCACCATACCGTGAGTGACTGTCATCTTGGGTATTGTGACTCACCACCATCTGATGTGACTGATTAAGGCAAAACCACAATTCTCACCCCAAAGACAGTAAGAGAGTTTCGCCAAATTCCGTCTTCCGTCCTGAAATCGGCTGCATGAGATTTTATTAGTTACCGAGCAGAAGAATCTGAAAGTGTTTACCAGAGTTATTAGTGGGGGCATGGGTGGGCAGTCACAGTTTGACCCGGGAGATTCTGCCGTGCCATAGGCCTATGTAAAACATCCAGTGACGTCTTTAGCTTTGGGATTGGTGGGACAAGTGGTGGCTAAGAATCATTTTAGAGTTTTAGTAGTCATGAGGACTCTGGGCCCAACAGAAGGGCGAACAAACAGCAACTTTCAAAGGCACTGAGGTTGGCAGGAGATATCTGCCTCCGATCTGATCTGTAATGGTCTAACGCGGTCTAACGCGGTCTAACGGCTTTGTATTCTCCAAGTTCAGTCCTTCGGCCTGGCCTCACTTTAACACCTGCAAGGCTTTCTCTCTTTCTTCTCACCCTGGAATTTCAGATACCTGCCTTTCCATTTGAGTTCAAAACACTGAGTGTGCTCCCCTGAGTCTCCTGACCTCTGTTCCTCCTTTCTCCGTGAACGAGCGAGGCTCCCAGTGGCTCTTCTTCATCCTGGTCTAGAAACGGAAAGTGCTCAGATAGGAAAACCACAAGAAACCAGCACATGTGATACCCAGAGCAGCTTACATCCATCCTGTGTGTGCATGGAGAGAGCCCCTTGGCAAGGCTGCGGGCAGCTTAGGGCTGAAATGTGAAGTGGAGTGCATGCTTTGGTGAAAGACGGGGTGCCGTTGTGTCTGAAATCGGCATCTGGGCCGGGTCCAACCCTGACTGTTAAGCTCCCTGGAGTCTCTCCCTTTCATTAAGGCCTTATTGATAACTTAGCTGATCAGAAAATACTTCATAAGCTTAACCTTCCAAAACAAAACAAAACAAGAAGAGCAGCAAGGAGCATTCACTTCTGTGACCCTTACCCATTGTCAGAGCAAGGATGAGAAAGGGTCTTTCCTACAGTGGCTGTGAGGATCAAATCCAATCCATGGAGAGGACTTGACACCCTTCCTAGCCAAGAACTCCCGCTGTCCCCATCCCTCCCATTGTAAAAATGAGGTCCAAGGTGGGGGGCTGCCTGCACAAAGTCACACAACGAGGGGGTGACATCCAACACGCCCTGCTTTGGCTGCTTCCTTCGCTCTGGCAGTCACCACTGACAGTCAGCCTCTTATTCCCGCACAGCAAGGTAAAGGAAATAAATACACCCAGAATGAGTGAGGCACTCAACAAAGGCTCACGGCCAAGTGTGGTTTCCATGGTACGTACTGTGTGTGCCTGTGTGTGAGTGTGCATGTGTGTGCGCACATGAGCGCCTATGTATGAGAGAGAGAGAGAGAGAGAGAGAGAGAGAGAGAGAGAGAGATTTGTTTAGAATCCTAGCTCCTGAGAGTGGAGGCAACTTGGCAGGCTCCTCAGCCTAGCTTCTATCTCCCTCCCTGTCTCCCTGTAGATGATGCTCCCAAAGGGACCAAGTAAGAGTCCTCGGTGCCATCTGCAGGGAAGGGTGTCCATCAAGATGACGCCAAGGACTGTGATTGATGGGGAAAATAAAACAAATCATCCTGATTAAAACCCAGGGAGTCCAAATCATCATGTTATATAATAATAACCAGAGACAGGGTTTTCTGAGTATCGGTCCTCTCTGTGGCAGGACTGTCCCTGTGTTTTCTGTGCCTGTTGAATTCTCCAGGTTAGTCAGTAAGGTGGCTGCTACTAAGAAACCATTCTACAGATAAGGGAGATGAGGCTCAGGGCAAATAGGGAGCCCTCTCAGAAACACAGACAGAGCCAGGAAGCAGAGACTTGGGGGACCCGGATGTTTGCAGGTGAACTTGTCCCTGCCTTTTAGGTAACGAAAAAAAACCCAAGACACTGTGGGGTCAAGACTGTGGCAGGTACTGGGAGTAGCAGCTCAGGCCTGTAATCCCAACTACTGAGGCAGGAGGATGACAAGGTCTTGAACTATAGAATGAGTTCAAGTTCAGTCTGGGCAACTTCAGCAGACCCTGTCTCAGAATAAAAATTGCCAAGGCTGAGAATATAGTATAGTATACACGGTGGCCTGGATTCCATTCCCAGTACCACCGGAAGAAAGGGAGGGAGGGAGCGAGGGAGGAAGGGGAGGACGCCTAGTTTCCCAGGCACCTGCCAAGAGCCCCACCTGTTTCTAGATGATGGCAGAGACTGAGGCCAAGCTGAGCGTGGCTGAAGGTGGGAGGCACTGGGGGAAGCTTTATTTCTATTTTTTTTTCTTTTAATCAAGGCACACCAAAGGCTCTGTCCTTTACTAAAGTCTGGCCTAAGCCAGTATTTGTAATAAATGAGCTTGAGGTCCTTGCCTCCCTTTCCAGACACTTCTTCCATTAAAGCGTGGAGCCCAGAGCCAAATGTGGATGCCGGAGAAAGCTCTAGAGCCCCAGATGTCTCCCCCTTTGGCTGTGGCTTGGTCCCCAGAGGACGGGATCCTTATGTGAGCTACAGAAGCGAGAGAGCAAACCGTGCTAGACAAGGAAGAGAAAGGCGATTCTGGGAACTTTTCCCTAGAAACCAGAGCCTAGGCAGCGAAACGCTAGACTCGAAGGGCCGCGCGCAGCAGAGAAAGACCACAGCATGAGGGTGGTGCATGATACACAGAGAGAAACACACACAGAGCCACGCCAGATGGAGAAAGCTGCCCGGGCTGGGCCAAGGATTCGTTACTCCCCCACCCACACAGAGCGACGGGTAGGGTTATGTAATACAAGCTGCAAAAACACTAACCAGCCTCCTTCAAGGGGCCCTGGGTGGAGGGGCACCTCCATTGAAAGTCAGGGGGACATCTGCAGTCAAGTCCTGCTCTTGGAGGCAGTGGGCACTTGTGTCCGCTGACTCAGCCCCGGGTGGCCCTACTCCTGGGAAGTAGCTGGAAAGGAAAGAAGGTGAGGTTTGGGTTTGTTAGTCATGACCAGCAGCTGGGTGTTTCTCCTTGTGCGAAGGCACAGTGAGAATGTGTAAAGAGAGGGCTGGGACACAGGTAGGACTGGGGCTTGGAGGGGAGGAGAGAAATGGATGCCAAGATTGGCTTGCCCTACCCCCACCCCCACCCCACCCCACCCCACCCACCACCTGGCACAGCCCACAGCTTCCCTGCACCCAGCTCCCTGCACTTGCCTGATCTGAACCTTTGGCACCCCAAATGCATCCCAAGACCTTCCGCTGGGACAACTGGTGCTTTGAAAGCTGACAGCGTTTTAGGGAAGTCAACATGGAACTGTGGGAATATACATCGGAAGTAGTTAGCAGGTGAGTCTCAAAGTTCAGGCTTGCAAGGGAAGCTGCTCCATCCCTCCGCCATGCGCTCCGTGTGACCTGGGACAAGCCACTGAGCTGTCTCTCAAGGTGGGGCTTCAGGCCCAGGGATGGTTCTGTGAACATCAAAGCAGGGAAAACAACAGTTGAGAACGGATGTACTCAGAAACTTCCCTGTTAGTCTTCACCTTGCTTTTTCCTCTTCCACCAGTGAATATCGATTGAGCGTGTCATTTGCCGTTGCAAAGCCCAGAGGGTCGCACTGGGGTTTTTCATGTGGTGTGTGGGGAACAAATGTATTCCAGAGTTTCGTGTGGACCTATCTCCTTGTGTTCAGAGTGTTCGTAACATGGCGAAGTGTCAGTTTTTAAAACTGAAAGGAGCTAACGAGGAGGGAAATGGCCGTGAGGTTAGCTGGAATCCTCCATCCGTGGAAGCACCTTCGGCAGCATCTCTGTCTGTGCAGTAGGTTTTGTTCTTGGTGATGGTGGAGGTTAGTGGGAAGGTTCCAGAGTCGGGAGCCCAAAGGTTGGTGCCAGAGGAGCTTCTGTGCTGTGGATGGGAAGTGTTTGCCAAACCGGGGCCCTGAGGACAGTGTGACTAGCCGGAGCGGTGACCTCCCGTGCTGGGAGAGATAAAAGGTTGAAAATTCTTACCCTTGGGTCTCTGGGGCTGCCTGACCATCATGGCTGTGGTGTCCCCAGGGAGGCCCTCTGGTCCCCGAGGGTTTTAGTCACAGGGTAACGCCAGGTAGCTGCTGCAAACTGGAGAAGGTGGGAGTCCAGTTAAGGAAGACCAACCATGCCTCGGGCTCAGCTTCAGCACCCCGGGCATCTGTGTTTTCCATCCTGGGTGCCCTGCACAGCTCTCTCCCTTCCCCTTCTCATCTGCTCCCTTCCTCCTTCTCCTCAGCTCCAGGAACTTCTGCATCAATTTCCATTTGACAAGCTGGTGACCAAGATGCCCAGAGATTAGTCCCCATGCGTGTGCGTCACCTTAGACACAGTCATAAGACACAGCAAGCCTCCAGTCTTCCTGACCTGTTGCTTGGGGACACATCCCTTCCCTGCTCCTGACGTCTGCCTGGTCAACCTTGGCTTCCTCAGAGAACAAGGAAGGAGGTGGGACACATGAAACCATGCCACCCAAGGCCGACTGGCAATGAGCGAGTGACGCCAAGCTGACGTCAGAGACAGAGACGACTGCAATTCTGCCACCAGCTCTTTTCCCAGAGTAGCTCGGGGCCCCTGTAGGAGTCGTCTTAGCTTGGAGGTCTTCCAAAGGACACAGACACCATGGAAGAGCACACATTTGGAGTTCAGCAGATCCAACCCAATGTCATTTCTGTCCGTCTCTTCAAACGCAAAGTTGGGGGTCTGGGCTTCTTGGTGAAGGAACGGGTCAGCAAGCCACCCGTGATCATCTCCGACCTGATTCGAGGAGGCGCCGCGGAACAGAGCGGCCTCATCCAAGCCGGAGACATCATTCTAGCCGTCAATGGCCGGCCGCTGGTGGACCTCAGCTATGACAGCGCCCTGGAGGTACTCAGGGGCATTGCCTCTGAGACCCATGTGGTCCTCATTCTGAGAGGCCCCGAGGGCTTCACTACACACCTGGAGACCACCTTCACAGGAGACGGAACCCCCAAGACCATCCGGGTGACCCAGCCCTTGGGTCCCCCCACCAAAGCTGTGGATCTGTCCCACCAACCATCAGGCAGCAAAGACCAGCCATTGGCAGTAGGCAGGACCATGGGTCCTGGTAATGGACCTCAGCATGCCCCTGGCAATGGACACGAAGCCGGCTTAGTCTCCCAGGCCAATGGTCTGGCCATTGACCCTACAATAAAAAGTACCAAGGCCAATCTCCAGGACAGCGGAGAACATGACGAACTGCTCAAAGAGATAGAACCTGTACTGAGCCTCCTCAACAGCGGAGGCAAAGCAATCAACAGAGGTGGACCAGCCAAAGCAGAAATGAAGGACACAGGTGTCCAGGTGGACAGGTAAGCTACAGGTGTGCAAGTGTGTTCTTGTGTGTAGGTGTGCATGTAGAGGCTCCAGCTGACAACCCAGGAGCCAGCCTGCCCAGCCACAGGTCTTGACTGCACTATCTTTCCCTGGAAATTTCAGTCATGCAAGGTGAGTGGACCTTCATTTGAAGACGCAACTCTTGCCATGAAACCGGCCGTCATTAATAACCATGGTCCAGGGCATTGTGTCTTCAAGTGTTTGTCCCGCGAATGCTCCCAAAGTCCTATAATACGAATGTGGAAAAGATGTGTTAAGAGTGGGGTTCAGAGAGATGGAGATGGCTTTGCTAATATTGACCAGAGACTGAGAGGCATGTGCACACATGGCTCATTGGGCACATAGCTCTTGCCAGGGTCTTGGGAAAGCGAGTAGGGAAGAGAAGAAATCTACACCCCATGCTGCTACCTCCTCTCTGCAGCCAACTGAGGACAAGGGAGGCTTCCAAGGAGAGGAAAAGACAGCAGAATTAGCTCCAAAACCCCTACACCACAGTCTTCCAGTCTTGAACCCTGGGGGTAGACCCTGAAATACTGGCAATGGCCCCTCTTGTTCACCAAACTGCTGCTTTTGGAGTCTCTGGTGGAAGGGATCCTGGCAGAACTAGAGATGTTGCCAGCATCTTCTGAGGGAGGAAAGAGCAGCTGGCCCTGGCAGTCAGAGAGTTGAGTGTCCCACAACGAGGGAAATTCCTCTGCCTCTTACACCATCAAACCCAATAGCCCTGTGCCATGCTGCCAAGACGGGGATAGGGCCACCCAGAATTCAAGCCCTGAATGCATTGGTGACACTCACCGAAGCTGTGCAGTGTGCAGGACTCCAGAGTTGTGTCTGCTGTGCTCATGACACAAGCTGGTCCTAGTCATCAAACCCTATTCCTTAACAGAAGAGAAGTTTAGAGAGTTTTAAATGAGACTCTGCCACTGTGGCGGAGCCCTTGCCGATGGCGGCTGACCCCCGGCTGTATCCATGTTTTGTACATTGGACTAGTTTGCAGCTGGGCCTGAGGCTGTGACTAGAAGGACCCCTTGGGTTCTATTTCAAGTACACTTGCACTCCCAAACCCCATACGATGTGGGTTCTCCCCCAGAAGACCCACAGTAGATGCTGGGTACTCCTCGCCATGTGACTAATTTGACCCTGTCTCTCAGGTGACACAGAAGACACAAAGGGGCCACATAGAATATAAGATACAGCAATAGTGGGTGCTGGTGTAGTTACAGAGCAAATGGTGACTGTAAAAAGAACGCCACGCTCCATTCCATAGAAAGAGGAGGCACAGGCAGTATGACATAGCACACTACCCCTGGACCCATTTTTCTGACTTGGGAGTGGCTCCATCCAATCTCTCTCCCATTGTGGTCCTCCCTCCGGCCACTGGATCCAAAAGTCATAGATAATCTGAGGTTTGAGGGGAAGCCACTCAGGAAGGCTCAGAATCCTGGGAAGCCACTCAGAGGAACCAGTTCTAGGGAATGGGTGACATTTATTAGTGGCATCTGTCCCCCTAGCTTGGTGGCTCATACTCACGCTGCATCCAAGCTCACCTTACTAGTTCAAAACTAGCATGTGGTTGATATAGCCTATCCCTGTTTGACATTTTCAGACACTTCATGTCCTAACTGTGATACAAGGACAGTGTCAATCTCCTGAAGACAAAGCCAGCAGTCAAGAGTATTAGTGCACACGTGGGATCTTGTTGGAGGAGGGCCCCTTGTTCCTCCCAGCCACCCAACTAGCTTTGCCCCAAAATAATCACACAGAAACTGTATTAATTAAATCACTGCTTGGCCCATTAGCTCTAGTTTCTTATTGGCTAATTCTTACATCTTAATTTAATCCATTTCTATTAATCTGTGTATCGCCATGTGGCAGTGGCTTACCAGCTAAGTTTCAGCACATCTACCTCTGGCAGCGGGTCCATGGCATCTCTCCACTCTGCTTCTTCTTCCCAGCATTCAGTATTATAGTCAAATGTCTCAATGTTTATTGTATGCAGGATCCATTCATCCATAGGTGCTGATCTAACCTTTAAAGGCCCAAGTATCTTTTTGCATTCTAAGTTGGCATTTTCAAAAGCCAGAGATTCAATAAGTGCTAGTCTAGCATCTAGATCTGTTACTCCTCTTTGTACAGCCTTCGTTAATCTTTGTAAAAAGTCCGGTAAAGGGTTCTCTCTGGCCCTGTTTAACCCTGGCATATAATTCAATTATTTTTCCTCGTTCTTGAGCCCTGTCCCAAGCATTTAAGGCTGCTTTGTGGCATAGGGACCGACTTCAGTCAGTAAGTCAAGGGTGTGTGCCTGGACCCGAAACTGCTGCACACACGGGAGCATCAGCTATAGAAGGACATAGGTGTGTCATCTTGGCATCTCAAGTGTTACAACTGTGTCACATCTGTGATACAGTTTCTAAAATGAACCATTCATTCTCAATGAGACGACAGGTCAGGCTGGCTTCACTTGGTACTCCCAATTTCTGTGGCCTCACACATGGAAGATCAAATCTATTAGTATCATAAGACAGAGTCCAGGAACTTCTGCCTGCTTCTATCTACACAGAAGGTCCTGTGGTTATGGAGACCCTTTGTCCTTATGTGAGACTTAGCCTTGGCGGTTCATGTCCTTCTGTCCCATATGGTTCCACCTCCACATTGCAAGGAGCACCCCTGAATCCGGAGAGGAACAGCCCAGGATGTCCACAAGCCTACTGCCACTCAACCTCCTGGAGACTGAACTAGAATGCCAGAGTCAATGTCATAAATTAGGAACCAGAAGCCCAGAGTGCATTTTCCTTGGGGTCAGTTTCACATTGGCATCCCTGAGACCATCAGGGAAGGGCCCCTTGATACTCACAGCTGTGGGGAATATCTTGTACTCTCAGTGACCTCCCTGACCAGATGCTGTTTGATTGGCACTGGCAACTTGGAGACTGGATGAATGGTTGCCATACTGAGCCAATTAGGAGACAGTGGGGTACTGTATCCAGATCCAACATCCAGGGCACGCTCACCAGCCAGTAACTGCTGAGGTCACCGGGAGCAGCAGGCACTTGCTAGTTTAGGTTGCTGCCTGTCTCATCTCTGTGGCCCTTCATCCCTCCTATGCGTGGACTCGGCTGTCTGCCCATCACTGGGGTTTATGGGGACCAAATGTGATGATACATTACTCTAAAATGACAGCAGATTCCCCTTACACCAGGAGCCAGGTGGCCCCAAGAGCCTGTAAACCCAGACTTCTGGTCCATTCCGTATTTGAGAGTGGTCACTTTAAAAGGTTCAGAGGATATCAAGGTTGCTCAGCTTGCTGCCCTGAGGCAGGGTTCTAAGGAGGCCAAGGTCCCTGGTTCAGCATCCATCTGGAACAGCCGGTCATCCTGGCCCTATGATCAGGAAACTAACCCGCCCCCTATTCACTTTTGCAAGGCACTAGGGCGGCCCCTCAGCACCTCTTCAGAGGTCATGTAAACATTACTGTGGATGTAGGACACTGGCTTCTGCCTGCTTTTCTAAGTGAGCAAACTGAGGCCCAGAGAGCTGAAGCCACTTAGCCAGGGTCACACAGTCCTGCCTGCAACCTACAGCAAGTGTCTGGAATTAAAGGGCCCAAAGAAGCAGCTGTGGGGGGAGCAATATGCAGGGCACCTGCTCTGTGGTGAGCCTGAGTCAGAGGATGGTGCTACGTACCCGTCTCTGCTGACCACTCCCAGGGAGGCTGGTCCCACACTGCTGTCTGTTTGCCAGTCCCATTTCTGTGATGAATAAAGCAGGGATCAAACAGGCTCTGTCATTTATCCAAGGTCAGTCAGCAAACAAACCAAATTCAGGCCCAAGGCTGTGCTCTTGACCTCTGTGGCCTCACGATGGCCCCGCTGCCCTCAGTGTGTTTGGCTACTGGTCCCCTGGGTGTCTGAAGCTATCAGAATAATTCATCCGGTCCTGGAAGGGAAACTGAGACCTTGCAGTTCCTCTGCCTTAGGACAACGTGACCATGACTTACCATCCGTCAAGATGTGAAGCAGGGCCTCCCCAACTTACAGAAGAGCCTCTCTGATGGGTTTTGCAGGTTTCCCAGTCTTCCAGCCATCAACATGGGAGAATGAGGATCCCAGGTCCATTCCTTTTGTAGCAGGGCCAGGCGACTAGCCTGTTTCTGGGCAGCTAATTAGTGTTTACTCACCATAATGGTGCCCAAGAAGAGGCTGGGGAGATGGCTCAATGGGTAAGTGCTTGCTGCAGAAACATGAGGACCTGAGCTCAGATCTCAGGTAACCACATAAAAGGGCTAGAGAGACGGAGACAGCCAGATCCCTGCACAGTTTGCTGATCAGTCCTGCTTAACTGTAGAGTTCCACCAGAGGGGGAGACCCTGTCTCAACAAAAAAGATGGACAGTGAGCTTCACACACACACGCACACACACACACACACACACACACACACACACACACACACACATGCACAAATACACACAGTGACCTCAGTGACCCTCAGTGGGGCTGGCTCCAGGCTGCCTGAGTTGGCGCACACTGCACACAGAGCTCTGAATGGGTCTGCAAAAGCTCTCCCACGAACCTCCACGCCACAAGCCAGAGCGACTTTCGCTCTCTCCCTCATCAGACACACGCATGTCTTCCCCAATCTGTTCTCCCCTACCTCGTCCCCTTTCTGTCTTGTCACTTGGACACTCAACCCTTCATCCTGAACAAGCTATGGAAGAACTCACATGTCTACATCCCCCAAATCGACCTGTCCCCAGCGGGCTTCTCACCACCTTGCACTGAAGTTTTGAGCAGACATAGTCTCACCCCTGATTCTGCTCTCAGAGCTGGGGACTCACTGCGGAAGCTCTCCCCTCCCCGAGTCACATCAGAGGCATGAAGAATAGACAAATAGACATTTGCCGTCATCTCTCACGGTGACTCATGCCAGGGAGGAAATAGGCCAGAGATTTGGGGGGATGTAGCTCAAGAGTGAGG